CCCTGCGACCAAAATAGTTGGCGAGGTGAGTGGGTCGAAACCAAATACATATTGATAGTATATGTATGTATGTATTAAGTAGAACCATTTTTTTTTTGCAAACATTTGTGTAGCTATTAGAAATTGTATGCGTAAATTAATAGAGATGTTAAGTGCAATATTTTTTTTATTTTTTTATTTTTTTGGTTTTATAAGTTTTACCAAGTAGTTTAATATATTTTGATACGATTTGTGTATGCATTTATTTTTTTTAAACGTCTGGTCAGTCTTTCGTGTTCAAACAAATATCTGAGGAGCATGTTAGGTGTGTTCTACAGTAGGAATAATGAAAAGTGAATGCTTTTTTAAATAGCATTACATTTGATTTTGTCTTTATTTAAATTTTTTTACACTAAGTAGGTACTTAGGTAGTTAAAATTACTAACTCAAGTTGACCTTTATTCAGCCAAAGATTACTGTAATATTCGTAGTGAATTGACTGTAAAGCTTTCATTCGTATTCGCCGGAGCTGAAACCCTCGCTAAGTTGGAGTAATTCACTATGTAGGGCATTCTACACTATCTGAGAAATACAAATGAGTAGAAAGCACCACATACAAACTCTGCATTTCACCTAAAGACAAAAGGTATGACCGAAACTAAATGCCGTTCTCTTAGTTTTGTTCCCAAGAACACTTTAAAACCGAAACCGTAATGAGAACAAAGCTGTCGAGGACGTTCTCAATGGGATTTGTGTAAGAGAACAAAAGTGCGAACAATACTCTCGGGAACAAAATGGGAACGAAAGTCTCCGCAACGTTTTAGCAAATAACAAAACGGGAACAAATGCCTAAGGAACTTTCTCTCTAAGAACAATTTGGGAACTAAAGTATCAGGAACTTTCTTACAGAGAACGAAACGGGAACAAATCTTCTCTGCACTGTTCAAGAAAAATGGAAGCGAGAAAAAAATTTTTCTCACAGCATTCCATTAGTTTGAAATGTGCGAATATTAAAATCAATCAAAAAATAACTTACAAATAAATATGCAATAAAGTCAAGATATGACCTTTTCTTGCACAGAAAATTAAAAATTGTTACATGAATAGACAGCTCGCCTTAAGTTCATTCTCGTTCTGTTCTCTAGCAGAACGTCTCCCTGACTTTTGTTCTTATTTGATCCTCCTTGAAAATGTTCCCGGTACTATGGTTTTTGTTTGTTCTCATTGGAAACGTTCCCGCAAGTTTTGTACTCATTCTGTTCTTCTTGCGAACGTTCCGGAGAGTTTTGTTAGTAGTTTCTTCTTTACGGAAATGTTCCCGAACCTTTTGTTCTCATTTTGTTCCCGTTTAAACTGCTCTCAATAACTTGTGGTCAACTAATTAAGTTAGCGATATGTTGACCACTTTTGGCTTAATATTTTTTAGTACTCAATATAAACGCAAACGCTATATAAACCAACACTTCAAACAAAACAAGAATTATAAAATTTCAACAAGTTTTCACTAAAATTTTAGATTTTTGATTCAGAATTTTTAGAAAAATTTTAGAGATGCATTCGATTTTAATATATCGAGCCCTAACCGCCAAAATAACGTAAGCGACATTTTTTT